TACAAGGAATTCTAAAGACTATTAATCTGACTACAAATATGTTAGTCATGGATAATGTATCATTGATCGTATAAAAGCTAAAGAGAAACTCGGCCTGTATCTAGCTCGCTTTGTTCCAACTTTCTATTGTGACATTTTGTTACTATCTCGCTTAAACCAATCTTAGAGCTTTCGAGAGTAAAGCCTTAATTAAGTTTAAGTTGTGTTTAGATAGCAAATGTTGTATGTACTATTGTTTATCTTAGTTGTAGATGCTACTTACAATTTCGCTAGAAGAATAAGAGTTGGGTTTTATTCAAGTCTATTATAATAATAATCGTTTGTTTCAGACCATGTCCATATTCTTCTTAATAACATTTAACTTAAAAACTAATGTTAGTACACTTTATATATATCATGTAATAGGTCAATATACAAGCAAATAGATACAGACAGGACAATACAAAATCATACAATTAATTATAATATTTAATTAAACTAGAATGTCATTAAATCATATAAAAAGGACCGCGTGGTTGATTGAGTGGTCGTCATTCCGATAGTTGTTTATAGAAAGGGTCTTGGGTTGAGCAAATATGAAAAGCCAAAATATTATGAGATGAAATGAAATGATATTTATTTCTGCTAATGGGTTACAAAGTAACACTTTTACATGTCAATCTTTAAATCACTAGATGAGGTATTTCTAAGTGACTAGGTACTCTGAGAAGAAATGCCGAAACAAACTCAGAGGTCATTGTCCCATTATCATGTCATTAGACAACACGATCCTCCGAACTCTAATAATAACAATTCCTACCCGTGCATTCCCTCTAACACCTATACGTTTGTTCTCAGAAGATCCCGAGTGGAATTTCAGTTGAATTGAATCTAACCTTTTAGTTGATTGATCACTTCAGCGATCTTCCTCTCATCCATTCGACTCATTTGTCATTAGGGATTGTAGAGGATCTTGAGATGTTGAAAGAAGTTTTGACAACAGTATTTGTTTTAGTTAGGTACTATATTTACCTCTATAGTTCTTACAATCGATATAGTTGTCTGTTAACCACTAGATCTAAGGATATTATAAGGTTTGCTACTGATTGAGTGACTTCCTTCGAAACAACGCACAGTCGAAATCATAGGACATAAAAAGATGTCGCTAATTTGCCATATAGAAGTTTCTTATGAAACCTCTCTCGAAATTATAAAGAATGTAAGCCAGGATATTATTCAGAGAATCTGAAATAGAATTTCTTAAACGGATAGCAATATCATTTAGTTTACATTGTTATATTGTATAGACTGCCTCGTTGGCCGAGTGGTCTCAAGTTCGACAGCCGGGCAAGGGGTCTCGGGTTCGATTCCCGGGGCCGGGCAAAGTATTACTGGGTTTTTATCTCTCAGTATTAGCACGGAGTCAGAAATCGTGTCCGGTATAATATGGCAATAGGCTCAACCCCTATTACGTGGGACTCATAACATAAATAATGAAAAATGGGTGTTACATTGTACAGTGGCATTAAGTGCGGTAATGTGCACCTCTGTCTACCCCTCTGGGGATAAAACGCGTGATGTAATGTTATGTTTATGTTATCTACAGTGAAGATATAAATATGAGACAGTAACTACAGAGAAACACGAGAAACTTAAGTTTACAGCAGGTAATACTAATAGTGAAGATAATATTACACATTCAGGTGTAAATTTCGTTGTCTACAAATTACTTCAACCTTGTCAAAAGATTACGTGGTTGGCCCAAAAATTGGGTTAGTGGTAAGACCACTGTCTAGTGACTAGAGGCTTCACCTTGATCATAATCGATATAATTACACTACATACCAATATTTGGTATCACTTAAGTTTGTATTTTATGGTTTTTATATGCTAATTTTTAATATGGTTTGGTTTTTATATCTTGTTTTTTTTTGTGGTTGTACGTGTCTTAGTGCAATTAGTAAAATGTTTTATGATTGTGAAATGTGATGGACTCAAGCATTTTGTATTATACTTCCGCACGGTTTCACACACTCTGCTTAGCTCCTATTGGTCGTAGCGTGATGTTTTATAGCCTTTAGCCATCCTCGATAAATGCGCTATCCAACACAAAAAGAATTATTCAAATCAGACTTGTAGTTACGGAGATTAGCGCGTTCAAACAAACAAACTCTTCCGCTTTATATAATAGTATAAGATAAGTAAAATTATTTGCAACGCCTGAAAAAGGCCGTTAAGCTGTGCCTGTCATTTCATTTAAGACCTGTATGTATTACCTAATCATGCAAATAAAGACTTAGAGTTTCAGTAATTAATACAGCCACTATTATCGAAAGGGCTACCTATATAGAAATGTTCTATGATTAGATAAAACTAATTTTTGGTCATGTATCTAAATTCACTAATTCGAATAATTTATTTTTTTATTATTACTTTTTCACCAAAGATAACAGTGAATGGCGGACTTAATGCCTTAAGCCCCTTAAGGCATTCTCTGACAGGAAGACACTATGTGTATTTTGTATAACAGAGGTAAAAATTGTAACTCTTCATAATAATTTCTATAAAACACCACTTAAAAACCCCACGTAGGTACTATACCAAATCATGACCTAAGCATTTATATTATTACTAAATACCTCTTCATTGTATGCAAATACTATAAAAACCAGTAATTTCAATGCGAATAGTATATTGACTTGTAGTACGTGACTTTACTGCTTACTACCACAACAATACAAGACTACAACAATATAATATACGATGAAAAGTACAGTTACAACAACTCCTCTGCCTAGCCTTATTTACCATACAATGTAAGAGTACAATACTCTATCTTGATGTGGTACACACGGCCACACATCAATCTATACAAAACCAGTTTATCCTGGTGTCGCGTCGCATCATCTTTCCGCACATTTAACGTTCAGTTTATACTGGTTATATAAAGCTCGATGTGTAGCCGTGTGTACCTACATAATATTAGATATGTAGGTACTAGACAGTGACAAGGTATCCTAATTTTTTTAAACGTTGCCCCGCACTAGTTGTTTCTTCTGTGTCGTGGGTGCGTTTACTTATAAATTCACATACACATGACAACAACTTGTGGATCACACAAACAGTTGTTCCGTGCGAGAATCGAATCCGCAACATGTTGCGCGGCAACCGATTGCCTAGCCACCGCATGTGCAGTCAATTTAATTTACAGTTTTAGTAAAAGGTCGAATATAAGTCAAAATCGGCTACATAAGAAACTAATGTGTTTATAAATGAAGCTATCTTAAAAATCGAACCGAGAGATACTTTAAATACTGCAAAAAGTCTTATTTTTATGAGTTAAAAACTCATGAATAAAATAAAAAGTATGTACATACATTTGCGCCTAAACGTCATAACCAAGTTTGATTAATATGGCTATAAAGATAGATGGAGCCTTCAAGACCACTTTGAAGCTATTTGACATACAACTCAAAACACATACATATATTAGATTCCAGACTGTATTAAACCAAACGAGTTTAGTTTCTTAGAACTTGTAACAGACAAAACATCGTTTTGAGTATATTTTATCGCGCCATTGTTCGGTGTTGTGGTGACCACACATCTAGTTAGAGATACGAGCATACCAATTCTAACCAGCTACAAATTGCTGCAATTCATGTACATATTCGAAAGAGTTTTTCAAATTTAAAATATACCCAGATATGACCGAAAACTGTGATAAGTCGCTGAGAGACATGCAGCTATGTTCCCAAATGTTGGGTAACTTATTTGCAATCCTCATGACACCTGCCAAGCAAGAGGATTATGCCAAATATCGCTTATTCCTAGTTATTCCCCACCCAGTTTCACCCACTACTTTGCTTTTATACTATAACGTGATATTTTATAGTCTACTAGCGACCCGCCCCGGCTTCGCACGGGTGCAATATGCATGTATTATACATACAGACCTTCCTTAAGAATCACTCTATCTATTAAAAAAAACCGCATCAAAATCCGTTGCGTAGTTTTAAAGATCTAAGCATACATACGGACATACAGCGAAAGCGACTTTGTTTTATACTATGTATTGATAATCTTCCTTGACAAATGCGAATTCCTTGAGAAGGGGAGTCGGGATCTCCCTCGGTATTTCAACATCTTCCGCGAATTTCAATTATCCAGAATTAAAGTTAACGTACCCGGAAAACGCGTTTTTGCATACGAATGAAATCACAGAGGAATAGTTAAGTAGCGATAGGCACATAATAATATATTATCTTTCGAAGTAGGTACATTGTATTGTAGTTAAAGTGACGTTTTACTCTAAAGGGATATATGAGCCGTGTCGTTAAAGCGGAAGGACGAGAAATAGAATATATAAAACACACCCACGTGACCGTATTAAATTGTTTCATGTAAGGTGTATAGAAATAGAGCTGTTATATGTGATATGTCCATAGATTATCATCTACTTGTGCCTATGGCAAGCCCGGTGAGGTTTAAGTCATAAGCTAAGACAGAAGGGTTACCGGCGCTCCGGTTTAAAGCAGGAGTAGGGATGGGTCGATTTTTAGTCAGTAAGTGTCTGACACTGCCTCTCGCTTCACACAAAGTGGGAAATATGGATGGATGGTTTTTCCCCCCTAAAAAAAGCTGGGAGAAAATGGAAAAAAATATATTCTGTTATAATATAGGATGATACTCTTTAAGGGTTCCGTACACATTTTTAAATATATAAGTATTACTGGGTCTGCGGACGATCTGGCGGGTTACTCCAGCTTGAAGCAGGACAAGAATTGGGGCCTCCCTCACCCAAAGCAGGAGAAACCATTTAATGAAGTTATGTTTTATTTATTTTTTTCAAGTAAAAAAAGAAAGAAAAGCCATTTATTTCACCACGACACACAACAAGAATTTAGGTACATACAAAAAAGCCCATGGTGCGTCGCAGCGCAAAAGGCTGGAGCTCAACTTAATTCTGTGGATCAGGCACAGAGGCTCGAACCCACCAAGTAGGTATATAAATTGCACGTTGTCCAAACTGAGGCCTTGCGAATAACGTTTAAAAGAATGAATAGTTTGGTGAAAGTTGTGTGCTGCCCCTGAGTTAGAATATAATGCACAAATTCTTTCTGTTTCAGTTGTAGCATACAAATCAATTGGAAAATCGCTCGTGACTTAGGAAGCATGCGGAAACTATATAAATCGCTCGTTTTCTATAATGGAACTGATATTTACTACATTAACCAAGGAAAGTGTGTGTTTACAAAATTGTTACGATCTGTATTGAAATATCATGTTACAACTAAACGCCTGTGCTGTAGATTATTATCATAGTTCGATAACGTATTCGTTTAAATGATTCGATTTTTGTTTTACTGTAACAAAACAATAAAAACAGTGCAGTTATGTACTCACTAAAGGCACAGAAAAAAAAATGTTATTTACGAAAAAATGTAATCTTTTTAATTATTTTTATTCTTTTTAGTAGTGTCACTATTTATTATGTCAATTTACGAGATGTATCAGCTGGACCACCGTACATTATGCGTTCTGCACATAGATCTAACGTAAATAATTTATCCTGTCATTACGACGATGAAGGGGATGTGCTTCCATGGGCTGAAGGGCCCAACTTTTCGCCTAAGTTCAACTCGATATTCTTTCACGAAACATCATGTCGTGGAGGCTTAAACTCTCGTCAGGCGTGCTCCATCGAGTCTGCGGCGAGGGCACATCCAAGGAGACAAATCTATGTTCTATTCAGTGGACCCATCATGAAGCTAGTGTATCAGAGAAGCTGCATAGCTAAATTGCGGCTCCTGCCAAACGTACATTTTGCTAGAGTGCATATAGAAGAATATGCAAAGAACACCCCTTTGGACGGCTTAGTGGCAAGTAATGAATTTAAAGAGAGTAAATGGCGAATAGAACACACATCAGATGTCCTCAGATATTTAACTCTGTACAAGTGGGGAGGAGTGTATCTGGACACAGACATTATGGTTGTGAAATCTCTGACACCTCTCGGTCACAATTGGGTAGCGAAAGAAGACAATGGGCTCGTGAATGCCGCAGCTATCGCCATTTCCATGGACCACCTCGGAAGACGACTCGCGAAGACTATTGTAAAGTAAGCATTATTATAGTTTTAATAAGATTGGGTAAATATTTTAATATAATACATTACTTTTTTAAATTTCGATATCACATCAGTCACTCGCGTCCGTCAATTACCCCCCAATCTCTGCAATCCCTGAATCTCCAACAATCTTCAAATTCCTAAAACACAAAAGGCCGGTAACGCAATTCTAACGCCTCTGGTGTTCCGGATGTCCATTGGCGACGCTTACCATCAGGTGATCCATCTGTTCGTTTACGGGTTTATCCCATAAAAAAGAGCTCTGGAAGCGGCATCTTTTTAACAGCTCCTAATGACAAAGTTATATTAACGACGTAAATATCTATGTATTTTTTCAGTGAAGTGAAAACGACGTATAGACCCGATGTTTTCATACATAATGGCCCGGGCGCGATAACGAGAGTGTTACACCATATGTGCAATAAATCTGATCCGAACGAATGGTCTGCTAACACATGTCAAGGTAAATCTATGAATTTCTAAGTTTTAAACCTGTTTCTTTTATCCTTTTAGAAATTACATTACTATTAGTAAGAAATCAGAACTAATGTTATGAGCTGTGGCTCGGAATCATGTTGTCTTCGAACCTTCAAGAGTGTACTTCTCCTTAAAAGCCCTAGAACGCATTGTTGCAGATGTCTATAGGCAAAGCTGATCGCATTCTATCAGGTGATTCAGCTCGTTTGCCCTTTTTTCATATTATAATATTTTCAGGTCTCGAGGTGTATGGTCCGGAATATTTTTACCCAGTCCATTATACCAGAAATAACGATTATTTCAAACCTGGAACGCTGAGGAACGTAGCAAACGCCTACACTCATCATTTATGGAATAAAATAACTTACAATACAACAATAGAAAAGGATTCTCCATATGAGAAGATGGCTCAGCAACTTTGCCCTCTAATTTATGAAATGTATGGAGATGAATTTGGTACATAAATAGGTCAAATTATATTTTTAAAGCCTGATATATTTTTTTGTAACAATTAATACCCTATATTAATTTTTGTTCGCGACTTTGTCCGCGGATTAATAACATCAGGCAAAATTTCGATTTTTTGCCTTGTCACCTTTTCCAATAGGCCTATTTCTATGTATGGGAGTATTTTTTATCAATGTCGATTCAGAACTTATAAGTACCTAAATATTCTTACGACTGAATGTCAGTGTTCTTTTTTTGTGAGATTGTTAAAGATTCCGTGGTTCCAAATAAATAAAGTTCGAAGTTCTACCCACGTAGTTCCCGTTCCCTTGCTGTGTTATTTTATAAGTGAGGAAAATGAAAATGTATTTAATATACCCGCTGTTGCTATTACGAAGAATCTAAATAGAAAATTATAACAATATTTTAGCAAACCGAACCTAATAATATAGATTAATTAAATATTACTAGATCAATGAGAAAGACCACATAAATCACCAAGTGTACATACCGACCTATTATTAAAATTTTGACTTTATAACTTGTTGACATTTCAAACAGACTAGCAAACAAATAAATAAACAAATTAATTTAAGTATACCAATCTCAAATTTGCATATTATCAAAATCAGAGATCAGATTTGCAGACAGATAAAACAATGATTTTGGTTCGTTCGGAAAGGTCGCCCAAATTATTCGGTTGTTTATTTCCATATCTATTTGATATTGTTTATCTGTAAGTGGATACATCTATTACTATCTAAAATCAGTTTAGCATCGAGATATTTAGGAGCTAATTTACCTACCTAAGTATTATTAATTATTTTTTAATTTGATATGCAAATATTCTCTTACATAACGCTTGTTGGTCGCCCGTGGACACCCGGAACACCAAAGGCGTTACAAGTGCGGTACCTTTTGAAGATTAGGAATTTGAGGATTGTCGGAGATTCAGGGAATGGGGAAATTGGGGAAGGGGGGAGGGTTAATTGGGCTTCCTTTAACCTCAGTGACGTGACGAAATACAACGCAAGCGTTGTTTCACGTCGGTTTTCTGTGAGGCCATGGTATCACTATGGTTCAATTTTAAATCCTTACTCTTACTAAGAATTTACGAACCAAGATATTTCCAAAATCCCTCAAAATAACTTTAGTTCACCTGTGTGACCACTTGTCTGTTGTCTGTCGAGAGAATCTATAATTATATCTCAAAAGAACAATAGGTAGAACATACGTACAGCACAAAAATACCAAACAAGTCTAATAAAGCTAATCAAATCAATTCGCCATGTTGCAAATTCTCAATACGAAATTCAAGTCTGCTTCCAAACCTGCTTGATTGAATTTAAACTGTGGTACTGATAGAATAAAGTCCAATTCCTTTTGAAAGACATTGAATGACAGATACCATGAGGTCATCAAGGTAGGTGGACATTTACGTAATGCATTAACATTGTCTGTATGTATTTGATACTGACACAACACTCTTGACTAGGGTTCAAACCTAATATGCAGGTCTAACTAACAATATCGATGAGAGACCAATGCTTAATCTCAGAAGGAAGTGTCAAAACTAGACAGCATAATGTGATCCGGTACTGAGAATTTCGATATCAAAAAAGTCGATAAAGTACTGAAATCTCAAATTATTGCCACCGACCTATCTGAAAGTCTATGTTTAGAAGGAGAAGACCTATGTTTATCACTGAGCGTTTCTTGTTTTTTTTTTGAGGGGGAAAATCATCCATGACTTGATGATAATTATGATGATAGTGACAAGTGCGAGCATTACATTAATTACAGATTTCCAAGAAATATGGAAAACTGCAATCTTCTTCTGACTTCTATGTTAACTAAGAGAATCATCGTTTTCAGGAGAAAACGAGATAAACCTAGCTTCACTGACGGACTGACTGACAGACTATTATTTATTTTGTATTTGTTGACGTTTCAAAAATACCAAATTATGGTTAAATTGAAATAAACGATTTGACTTTGAAAGACCTCTCTAAGTTGGATATAACCTTCAACTTGTAAAAAGACACCGATTTTTAAGGTATACCTAGGTATTTCCTAGTGCTAATTTTGTGCTAACCTAACAAAATAAACTAATGTTAAAAGTATTTCCGTTCCTTCTCATAACTTAGGATACCTGTTCCAAATTCCACGAACACTGTTAACAGCTCACAATTACTATTAGGTAGAAACCTAAAACCTATAGTCGTCATGACATTTAAATTTTATTACCTTCCATTTTTGTACGAATCATATTATAAGTAGCCTGCGTAGATGTAAATTAGCATAGACATTTTTATATTCAATTTCTCACTAATATTATTACTACACCCAAATTATTAGACATTTTTAATTAACTTAAAATTAAAATTACTTTATACCTACTTGTTTTCCCTATCCTTTATTTCATTCAGTACAAATCTGTTATCTACACAGTACACACGTAACAACTAATTAACATTACATTACACCAAAAAGCAATAAAAATGGCGGCTTTATCCTCAACATTATGCACGCAGCGCAAGCGCAGAGATACCCATACATTCCTCTTTTATCTTCCATTTTGAATTCCAACAACGCGTCTGGACTTTTAAGGTCGAAATTTTAGCACCACGGTAAAACCAACCCTGACATTTGGTAATAAAGTTGCCTATTGCCTAAAGAGACTGGTTCTCCATATTTTAAGTCTCTACATAGGTGCACGCAATATTATTGATACTGGACCAGAGATTAGCCTTAAAGCTATTACTAGAATGGCTAGGTTTTATCTAAATCAGGTTTTTCTTGTTCGGACTTAGAAATGATTGCTTTTATGGTTGTAAGTGCAGTGTAATGGTTCACTATTCTATAGGCACTATGTGTGATAAGTAATTTGTATTTTGAGATATTAATTAATTCTCTTAATCTAGACTTCTAAAGACTATCTTATCTTTGCTACTGTAAAGCTTATTATAGAAATTATAGATTTACAAGTTAATGTTAAGTAAGATGTTTAAACTCTAGACTAAGTAGTAAGTAGCCCTTCTCTAACTATCTTTGTGTCTAAACTAGTCTAAACGGTTGGATTTATCTATTAAATGTTTACGTATCATTTGATAGCTAATTTTAGAAATCCTCAGCAATAGCTTGGAGTCCTGAATAGCGCCTGGTTGCTGGCTATTTACAATGTTCAAAATTTTTGTAACATAAAGAAAATAACTGCGTTTTAAAAACAGTTACCTCATTATTTCAATACTAAAACTTTTTAAAAGTTGTAAACAGAGTTATTTGAAGTGTACGAGTAATGAGCATCAATATAACTACAGGTTAATGCTTGCACTAATATACTGGCGCCGGCAGTAAAAACATAATGATAGTAAAGAGGCCGCGGCTAGATAACGTACTTTAAAAATCCACCTTCAAAGCGTACTACAAAATGTATTGTTTTTATTTTAAGAGAGGATAGTTTAAAACCATTACTTTTGTCAAAGTCGAAGCATTATTTTGATGAAACCACATAATTATAGGCTTCTTCGGAACATCGAAATAGAATTGTCTATCAGTCGTCGGTTCGTTATAAGTTCTCTGTAGGTAATGTAGATTCATATGATCAAGAAACTATTATATAGCTTCATTTCTCAATAGTAAATCGGTTGAAAATGTAAGGAAAAATTTCAAATGTACACTTATTACATTTAAAAGATTCATCAAAACGGATAGCAATACGATAATATGTATAGGGGACGCTCTAACAGAAAGTATCAATTTATTCCATCTGCAAAAATGACCTGTATCAATAACATTCATCTTCATTTTTACCCTTGAAATTTTTCTCAAATATTATCAATTCTATCCGTTCAACCAGCTACAAATCATTGTAAAACAATTGTAATTGCCTTATAAAATATGCATATAAAATAACCATAAAATATTATAAAACATGGCTAAAAATCGTATAAAATGTCATTAGATCATCGGAAAGACCGGTTGGTTACGCAAACACAGTGAGGTCACCTCCGGCAGAAGAGGAAAAAATATACTTGAGTACATTTGTTAAAGAAATGCAGCCACACGATGGCACACTTTAAATGCAATATAGGTATAATCGGTTGCAGATCAAGCTATACATATATCACTAGTTTATCATAGTCTCAATTTTTACAGACTTTCGGTTCATACAACGGTCCGTTTATACTGGTTTTGCATAGCTTGATGTGTTTACCTTATGCGGTTATTCACGCGAACTGCATTCATTGCACGTTATTTTATTCTTCATTCATTATTTCATTACGTTTGTATTACTGAAGTCGAGAATTCGCAAGGAGCTATATTGGGTCCAATGCAATTTTTACTCTTGATTTACTGTTAATAAATTCGAGAATTCGCAAGGACATATTTGAGGACCAACGCTTGAATCTATAAATAACAAGTATATTAATTTTATTTCGAAATCAGACATAATTTTATTGATCAATCGGGAAACTTGATCTTCAAATCTGTTGCTGCATATTTTGCTTATTCATCCTTAAGAAATTGATTAGCAAGTCAAGTCAATTCAGTGTGGAGAATAAATGATAATAAATGATGACGATATACTTCAATTATACATATAGTCATATTTCAGGGAATCTATATTACTCTGAAAACACATAACAATAACATTCATAAAGTCACTTTAACCTTGGTATCAGTGTATCAAATTGCATCAGTAATGGAACTAATCGTACATAACATTGAATTTCTTAATGCATGCATTTAATTTTCTTCTGAACGTTGCTTTTATAAAAATTCGTTCATTCGTCTCAGGTGTTTCGCATCATATTCAGGACCTGATAATTTTTGTAAGTGATGGTACTGCAGTATTATGTCTAACTCTCAATACTCCATATAATAATAATGAAATGAAGTGGCCTAAAGTCCTATTGAATTGGGTAGTTTCCTTTGTCAAAAATGTATTATTTCGACTGTTGAATACAATAAAAATAAACACACTTTCATTAATTGATTTTATGACCAACTTAATTTTAATATTTTTCCAGCTAATTT